TCTCAATCATTATATAACCGCCACAAGTAGAGTATAATATTCCTATCCATGTATCTACCACCATGCATCCAGTATCATCTATGTATACCCATCACAGCCATCCACTCCCATCCACCACCCGTTCTCGCTCATCCATCTATGCTCAGTTCCCTCATCTACTACCTCCACATGCCTTCTTTCCTTCATCCACTACCCCCCTCCCTCACATCCACCAAAACAACCACCATCACCCCTACAACCACCATCACCCCAACAACCACAACAACAACCACCATCACCCCTACAACCACCACAATCACCCCTACAACACCACCATCACCCCAACAACCACAACAACAACCACCATCACCCCTACAACCACCACAATCACCCCTACAACCACCCCTACAACCACCATCACCCCTACAACCACAATATCTATCACCCTTCAGATATATTACGGGCGGTAAAGTCATCACAGGTTCATTGTTATTGAGAAGGGGACGACAACAACAACAGGAGGGTACGTGGCATGACCGTGGGGTTGTAGGTTGTAACTGCAGCCCTGAGGTGAAGTCTGTCTGTATGCCTGTCTATCCGTCAGTAGTTATATTTCCCTGTCTATCTGTGTGCCTTTATGCCTCTCTCTCTCTGTCTCTCTTTTTTCTCCCATTCTGTCTGTCTGTCTGTCTGTCTAGCCAATGAAAACAACGATTTAGATTTTCACTCTCGCGTACAGCTGTTATTAAGCCATCAAATAAACACACAAATGAATGGATGAATAAATAAATAGATTGAAACCAGAGTGAGGCAGGGTGAGGGGGGAGGGAGGCAGGGCAGGGGAGGGTGAGGCGGGGGTGTGAGGGGGAGGTGAGGCAGGGTGAGGAGGAGGGTGGAGGCAGGTGAGGGGGAGGGTGAGGCAGGGTGAGGAGGAGGGGTGAGGCAGGGTGAGGGAGCAGGAGGCGGGTGAGGGGGAGGGTGAGGCAGGGTGAGGAGGAGGGAGGGTGAGGCAGGGTGGAGGGGGAGGGTGAGGCGGGGTGAGGGGGGGGAGGGGGAGGTGGGGGTGAGGGGAGGGTGAGGCGGGGTGAGGGGAGGGTGAGGCGGGGTGGGAGGGGGGGAGGGGGTGAGGCGGGTGGAGGAGGGAGGGTGAGGCGGGGGTGAGGGGGGGAGGGTGAGGCGGGGTGAGGGGGAGGGTGAGGCAGGGTGAGGGGGAGGGTGAGGCGGGTGGAGGAGGGAGGTGAGAAGGGTGAGGGGAGGGTGAGGCGGGGGTGAGGGGGAGGGTGAGGTGGGGTGAGGGGGAGGGTGAGGCAGGTGAGGGAGGGAGGGGTGGGAGGCAGGGGTGAGGGAGGGAGGGTGGAGGCAGGGTGAGGGGGAGGGTGAGGCAGGGTGAGGAGGGAGGGTGAGGCAGGGGTGAGGGGGGGAGGGGAGGCGGGGCAGAGGGGGAGGGTGAGGCAAGTGAGGGGAGGCAGGCAGGAGGAGGGTGAGGCAGGGTGAGGAGGAAGGGTGAGGCGTGAGGGAGGGTGAGGCGGGGTGAGGAGGCAGGCAGGGTGAGGGGAGGGGGAGGCGGGGCAGGGGGAGGGTGAGGCGGGGTGAGGGGGTGGGTGAGGCAGGGCAGTGAGGGGGGAGGGTGAGGCGGGGTGAAGGGGAGGCAGGGAGGCAGGGGGTGAGGCAGGGTGAAAAGTGGAGAGAGAGGGTGAGGTACTGTAGGTGAAGGATGAGGAAAGAGGGTGAAAGCAGGGTGAGGGCACGAGGAGAGGGATGAGGGGGATACGGAGAAGGATGGGTGAGGGAGGAAGTAGGAAGGGGAGGCAGGGTGTGGTAGTGAGGAAGATTAAAAGGCTGGGAGAGGACAGCAGGGATGCATGGCTGAGGAAGGGATGGAGTGAGGAAGAGAAAGGGAGGGAAGGAGTGAGGAAGGGAAGGAAAGGAGGGAAGGGGAGAGGGAGGGAGTGGTAAAGGTCCCCTGCTGCGCGCCATTACACTTAGCTGCGGCAGGTCCAGCCCCCCCGCGGCCCTCCCACAGCACCCCCTCCCACACACAGCCGGGATACACTCACTACACCCCGACACTTAGGCAAACACCCATTCATCACCACGACCCCCCCTACCCCTCCCCCACCACCTCCAGCCGTATCTCATTCAGTAATCAATAAAAAATGCACTTCATGGCAAAGGTATATTTTAATAGAGAGATATGAGGAATGTAAAAACCCTCTCTCCTGGACGACTATTTGCACAAATGAATGATCGCCTCGGGACAAGCTTTTTTTTATTCGGCCACATGAGCTATGGTAGTTTTTGTAAATAAGTTATGGTGGTATATCATGGTAGGGTCCAGTCGAGGCGCTCTACACAGTCGAAGTCGTGGCCAGGTAAAACGAGTGGGGAAGGATCGGGACGAGGCAGGGAGGAGGCGGAGGAGAGGACAGCAGCGAGGGAGGAGGTGCAGGTTTCGGACGCGGGCCCCCCAGGAGCAGGACAACTCGGCCCGTCACGTCACAAACACCACCAGCCGTCAACACCTCCTCACCGCGCTCGTCAGCCGACCTGCCTGCCTGCTGGGGCACGCCTTGCTGGCAGGGGAAGGATGGGGCTAGTCTGGCTAGATGGAGAGTGGATGATAGGTAAAGGGAGGAGGGAAGGGGATGGTGGGTAGCTAAGGGTTAATGGGAGGTAGAATAGGAGGATAGGTAAGGGGAGGAAAAAAGGGGGATCACCTGAAGAATTGTCACCCCAGCCTGCTCCACCTGAAGAATTGTCACCCCAGGTGTTGCCACCTGAAGAATTGTCACCCAGCCGGACTCTGGGGTGACAATTCTTCAGGTGATCCAAAAAGGGAATAGTGGATAAGGGGAGGAGGGAAAGGGGTGATGGGTAAAGGATGGTGAGTAGCTAAGGGTAGAGGAGGGTCAAAGGTAAGAGAGGAAGAAAGAGAGGTAAAGGGGGATGGAGGGGAGTTAGGTATGGGTGGTTGGGGGATAGTTAGGTCAGGGAGGGATAGTAAGGCCAGGGAAGGTGTTTACACGTGTATATAATTATAGAATGTAGAAACGACCCGTTTAACGTGTAACTCAATTTTTTTATTTAGCTTTTGGAAATTTTCTCAACGTGGATCAATTTAACTCCAATTTACCATTTAGTCTTATGCTGGTTCTAGTGAGGAAGCTTGAAGGACACATATGTACACATCACAACTCTCTGTGCACATCACAACACTCTGTACACATCACAACTCTCTCTGTGCACATCACAACTCTCTCTGCACATCACAACTCTCTGTGCACATCACAACTCTCTCTGTGCACATCACAACACTCTGTACACATCACAACTCTCTCTGTGCACATCACAACTCTCTCTGTGCACATCACAACTCTCTCTGTGCACATCACAACTCTCTCTGTGCACATCACAATTCTCTCTGTGCTCATCCCAACTCTCTGTACACATCACATCTCTCTGCACACATCACATCTCTCCTCTGTACACACCACAACTCTCTGTACACATCACAACACTCTGTACACATCATTAATCCTCTCTGTGCACATCACAACTCTCTGTGCATTATCATAACCTCTGTACACATCACAACCTTCTCTCTGTGCACATCACAACTCTCTCTTGTGCACATCACAACTCTCTGTACACATCACAACTCTCTGTGCAATATCACAACTCTCTCTGTGCACATCACAACTCTCTCTTGTACACATCATTAACTCTCTGTGCACATCACAACTCTCTCTGTGCACATCATACCATTCTGTGCACATCACAAACTCTCTCTGTGCACATCACAACTCTCTCTGTGCACATCACAACTCTCTCTGCACATCACAACACTCTGTACACATCACAACTCCTCTCTGTGCACATCATTAACTCTCTGTGCACATCACAACACTCTGTACACATCACAACTTCTGTGCACATCACAACTCTCTGTGCAATATCACACCCCCTATGTGCACATCACAACACTCTGTACACATCACAACTCTCTGTGCACATCACAACTCTCTGTGCACATCACAATCCTCTATGTGCACATCACAACACTCTGCACACATCATTAACCCCTCTGTGCACATCACAACCTCTCTCTGTGCACATCACAACTCTATGTGCACATCACAACACTCTGTACACATCACAACTCTCTGTACACATCACAACTCTCTGTACACATCACAACTCTCTCTGTGCACATCACAAACTCTCTGTACACATCACAACTCTCTCTGTACACATCACAACTCTCTCTGTGCACATCACAACTCTCTCTGTGCACATCACAACTCTCTCTGTGCACATCACAACACTCTGTACACATCACAACTCTCTCTGTGCACATCACAACTCTCTCTGTGCACATCACAACTCTCTCTGTGCACATCACAACTCTCTCTGTGCACATCACAATTCTCTCTGTGCTCATCCCAACTCTCTGTACACATCACATCTCTCTGCACACATCACATCTCTCCTCTGTACACACCACAACTCTCTGTACACATCACATCTCTCCTCTACATGTACACGAGGCCAAGCAGTAGAAGGTTTCCAGGTCTCCCTCCTCTGGCCTGGTGTGTGACGCCCATCACTCTCCTGACGGCGGTATAGGATGACGCGTCACCACTGGGCCCCTACAGAGGTCTTTCGTTGTACTGTTGGTTATAAAGTCCCTTACTGTGTGTGTGTGTGTGTGTGTGTGCATACTTTCATGTATACACGTAAGTCATGTTCCGTCGTTGTAGCTTGTGAGAAAACATGATTTACGCTATATGATGCCCTTCAAGTCCTCTACTTTAGGAAAATTGTTATGAAAGTTATTTCAACATGTACAATGAACTAACATTTATAATACTAGTCATAATGTAAGTATAAAATAGTTGAGACCGAATCGTACGTCCGCCAGCCAGACAACGTGGCCCGGGCAACAGTGGTGTGTGTCGACGACGACGTCAGGAGTGCAAACTGTGACGTCACGGCCAGGCTGACTACATCTCACGCGGCCAGCCAACTGCTCAGTACCAGTAGAGAAACCATCGTGTTCGGAGGCGAGAACGATAGCTGCCTGTGCTGAAGTGCTGATTGTTTTTTTTATTGAAGGATCTAGTGCTCACAAAAATACTGTGCTAATGGTGGTTCTCGAGTCCAAAGGGATGTTGACTGCAGGCAGTAATCAATATTTACAACCGGATTACCTGTCTCCACTACCCACCACGGTAAGAGACGCGTCTGTGGGTTTTCTCAATTTTTTGGGACTTAGTATCTGTCGTGTGCCTCGACACAGTCGAAAATTCGTTTAACAAGTGTGATGCTTGTGCGACATGGTGCATCGATTTTAGCGTTCATGATTACGGATATGGAAGCAAAATTCTTGTTATAGTAAAAGATTTAAATTTTTAGTAATTTACTTTCTTTATTTGAAAATTTTGAAAATCGTGTCAAAGCCAAGTATGTGTGTGCTGTATACCACCGCCTCTCACAGTCACAACGAGTGAGTAACGAAATCATTTTCTCTTTTTCAGCTGGACGCCAAAAAGTCACCCCTCGCGCTCCTGGCGCAGACATGCTCCCAGATTGGAGCAGACTCTTCCAAACCTCTGCCTTCTGAGAAGAAGAAGGAGGAGGAGAAGAAGGAAAAGTCGACCCCAACACCACAAGACTCCACACGACGCTCTCCGGCGTTTAAGCCGTACGAGAGCGCCACCAAGAAGAACATGACTGAGGAGACAAACAACGAGGAGAAGACCTCTGGCAGGAAGACCCCGGCCAGTCACCCCTCCAGTGCCAGGTCCCCCTCTAACTCCAGCAATGGAGGTGGATCCTCGGGGGGTATTACCAAGGAGGAGAGTGGGCGTCGGAGTATCGAGGCCAGTGCCACCTCCTCGGCCTCCACCACACCCATCATCAGGTCGGGCCTCGAGGTGCTGGCTGGCCACCCAAAAGATGTTCCCCTTGGCACCTACAGGACTGGAGTGCCGACACTGCTGTCCCCAGGCTACCCTGGCCTGGAGAGTCACCCTGCCCTGCGAGGTGCTCACCCTGGCCTCATGCACGGTCTTGGCCTACACGGACTACCCTCCACATTGGCCTCCGTCTACCCAGGCGCCGCTGCCGCCGCCCTCTACTCCTCCGCAGGCCTCCACAGTACCGCCTGTCTGTCTCCCTCAATCCTGGCCTCGCCTTACCTAACCTACACACGTGTTAAAACTGCAGGAGGTGGCGAGGCTGTAGTGCCAGTGTGTCGTGACCCTTACTGCACCGGGTGCCCCTACTCCGTGCAGAACAACCACCTTCTACAGTCAGGTGGCGCCTGCCCTCCGTCATGTACACAGTGTGAGCAGGCAAAAGCAGCGTTGAGTGCCCTGCCCGGTCTTTCATCCTTACCCTCGTCGTCCCTGGTGCCCGCCAGCAGTATCCTGCCGCCCACCTCCGTGGCTGCGGCTGCTGCTGCCTCCCTCTACTCTCCCTCCCCCTCCTCACTCCTTACCGCACCTCCAAGACCCTACTTGTGCAACTGGATAGCCGGGGACACCTACTGCGGAAAGCGGTTTTCCACGTCTGAGGAACTGCTACAACACCTCAGGACCCACACCAACATGACTGCCGACACCACCTCCCTCAGTCTTCTTTCCAGCCCTCTGCATGCCCACGCCGCCCTTCTGGGATCAGCTCACTCCGCCCTCTCCCGGCCTGGCATGCCCTACCCTCCGCCCGCCCTGTCCCCCCTGACGGCCAGCAGGTATCACCCGTACAACAAGCCCACCTCCCTCTCTGCGTCAGCCGCCCTCACACCAACACTACCCGGCCTCTCTCCTTACGCTTCTGCTCTCTCAGCCTATCCTCCAGGTTACCCCTCGCCCTATGCCGGCCTCTACCCCAGGCCGCCCCTCTGATGTGCGCCCTCCTAAACTAAGTGAGACCTCCGGGACTCACAGCTCCGGCAGGTGTGGGGGGGAAGGAACGTGCTGGTGAAACTCATATCAGGTGCTATAATCAAAAAGACCCGCCCCTTAGAGGCGACTGTGCCAAAGCATCTGCTCAGCAGCCAGTGAGAAGTGGTACTCAGGCCGCCGCCGGTTTATAGCGGGGCGAGGAGAGGCGCTGTGGAACTCTCGGGGAGTGACGCGCCCCTCCTGGCGGTGTGTGGCTGGGGTGGCAGTAGCAGTGTGGCGCCCTCAGTCGCCGCCGCCACATCACCTCACCACCGCCGCCGTCGCCCATCAGGCCTCCAGGACCGCACAAAAATCTCGCCCAGGAATTATAACAGTTTATTGAAAAACAAAAGCAGCATCAAGTCTGCGATGGGATTCTCTTGGCGAATATTTTTGTGCTTAATGATTCTTTCATTTGTTTTTTGACTGTGATAGCCTAAGTTTGTACATAATATCCTGTAAATATTTTTCTCAGTGGTGAATATGTATATTGAAAGTTATTTGGAATTATGCCTAATTATTAAAATATATGAGTTTTCTAAGAGAAACCTCATGGTTTTGATTTACCTTGGACTGCCTGACTACCCCAAGTGCACACTGAAGGTAAAGTGTAAACTTAGGCAAGCAACGCTCCCCAGCAGCCAACCAAAGCGAAAGGTTTATAACAAAACCATAGTCGTGATCAATGACTTACTATGTTTATATTTTTCTGTTGAATAAAATCCTGAAATGAACCAGATTGCACCAATGTTTTCTCCACATAGGCTTTTAAAATTCATGACTATTTTTCAAATGCTTCATCTTCATTGTTCTGTTTTGCACAAAGAACATATCTAGTCTGCTCAACTTGAGAAATATGTGCAACTTTCTATGTACCTTAAATTAAAAATTTACCACTGCTATTCTCCACAAATATATATCTATATAAATTGCACGCAATAAAGAAAACAAAGTCAGATTAAATTGGTTTTATTGTTTAACACTGACGAGGGCCTGTCTGGGTGTCACCTGCCTGGGGCAAGTTCATGTAGTTAAACCTACAGTATCTGAGAATACTTCCATAACTCTACTGTCTCACAAGTCACTACCACACTATACAGTACATGATTGAATAAGCTACAGATATATTGCTTCTAGTAATAATTTTTGAGTAAAAGCCTTCAGCCTTCACCAAAACACCACTAGCTCATGAATATGTTTTTAAGAACATTTGTATTAAACATCAAAGATTCACAAGTACTGTGTGTGGAAAATGTGCTTTGACACAAGATAATGCTCTACAATTTTTTACAAGATTGTATTGGACAAGTTCCAACACAAACAAAAATATTAAGTATTTTAAGATTTTCATCTTTTTATAAATTTATTTAAAATATTTCCCCAGAGGATGAAAATATTATGAAAGAACAAATGTCGCTACATGAAGATGTCATGAGATTGTAGACAGTGATGTAGTTATTATGTATATATTAAACTACATCAACATTGTATATTATACATAACTGAAAAGATACATAATTATACAATGCAAATTAGCCTAATATTAACATACGTCTAGCAAGATAAAATGCAAAGAGTAAAAGCTCCATTACAATATATACACACACTATATATATATATATATATATATATATATATATATATATATATATATCATGTAAATCCACAATGAAAGCTAAGGTGCTCCGTTGTTTCCATTTTCCCGTGTGATTTTATCAAGATATATATATATATATAAAATGGTCATTTGTTAGAATATATAAAACATCAGAATAAGTGGAATAATCATCTGTTACCTTAACAAACAAACAAAAATAAATATCATAAAAAACAAATAATTTATTTAAAAAGTTGATTCATGAAACAGTAAGAGTTAAGAAGCACAAGAGAAGTTAATGTTACGGGTGGAGGTGCAGGCAGAGCTGTGAGGGAGACAACTTATACACAAGGACGGAAAATAACGAAAAGATCCAAAACCTTTCATGGTTAATCTCACCTTAAAGGAAGATGTGAACTATAACGAAAACAATAATAAAAAAATATAATAATTCTCGATATTAGAAGATTTTATACTTAATATAAAAGTTCTCCAGATACTCCGCACATAAAATGACGCTGTACTGAGGCCCGCCGGGTGGTGAGGCGGCCCAGCGAGCGGTGTTGGGTACAAATAAGTCTACGGGAACAGCACACCGCACCTCACACCCAGCGGAGAGAGAGTTGCCGTCTCCACCATTAGGCAGGAAAACTATACTAGGAAATGAAACTAAAACAGCGGACGATGATGAATATAAATAAATTATATTTTTTAACACAGTACTGTATAAGACATGAATGATTGTACTGTTTGAAGGAAAAGAACTAAAAATACGTAAAATGAGTAATACACGAACACACACACTGATATACTGTACACTAACATACACAGAAAGATGTTAGTAGAATTCATTAGTCCGTGTACCCAAATATACACATATACTCAGAAAAAGGAATGTGTGTATGTCTAACTTCATGCTCGTATATACAGGTAGGTAGACACCGATAAATACACATACAATCTCTCACAATAGGTAAAATTAACCATCTCTTATTTTTACGAGGAAAATTTAGCCTAACCTGATAGACAGAGAGAAAACATAATGTCTTAACAAATTAACTTAGGAAATATCTGTAGTCCAAGGCTAGTGAGCAAATATCACTAGGAGACAAAGTTACCCAAGTCAAAGATGAAGCTGTCAGACACACGGCAATGACAGCTACGAGACTCGGAAGTAAAGTAATCACTAGTCTCTGAAAGCTGACTAAGTAAAGCTAGAATAGTAATAACCGGGGTAACCAAAGCTAGAATAACCGAATCTACAACACTCCAAAGCTAAAACAGTCCAGTCTCTAGTAACCACAGTTAAAATGGAACAGTGAATGTAAAAACAGATACAGCTAAAATACTCGCTAATTAAACCAGTCAAAACGAGAAGTCAGAGCTAAAACAAAGCAAACAGCTAAAACAAACACAGTTAAACTTGGACCACTCAGTATCAATCCAGTCGAAATAAGAAATACACAGATAGAACAATCACGTCTCAATTGGCCATAACAAGACTAGTGAAAGCTAAAACAGGGCTTAAAACAGTAGCGTCTATTAACAGCTAAAGAAGAACAGTAAGAGCTAAACCAAAGCTAGAACAGTCATGTCTACAGTTGTCACAGAAAAGCTAAACCAAAGCTAAAACAGTCATCTCTAGCGGTCAAAGGTAGAGTAGAGCCGTCAAAAGCAAGAACAGTCATCGTGGGAGCAGTCACAGGCAAGCTGGCTGGCTGGCTGGGAGGGTCGCGGCTCCCCCCTCCCCCTCACCATCATACCTGTCAACCCGCACCAGATGGGAATAATTTGTGTCTTGCCTCGTCGCGTTCACTGATACGCCTTATCTGCCTCCCTGTCATCGCGGTACATATACACGTCAATCGGCCAGACGAGCGGCACTCATTATGATACGACCAAAGAGCCGCTTACCTTAATTTTCCTCTAATCCACATGTGGTAGGAGAGAGCACGCGTCCGGTAATGCTTCGAGTCTCACTGCGCTTTTAACGCCATTTTTGGTTTGTCATCTTTACATCGTGGTTAAAGCGAGTCAGCTGAGGCGTTTTTCTTCTCCTTAAGTGTTACAGTGGTTAATGTTACGAGTCTCTGAGAAGCATAGATTACCGTCTCGTTGTCATGGTGACATAGTGAGGGTTAAAGTCATATGTTAGAATTATCCAAAAGAAATAATAAATATATCCACGATGATAAATACCCCAAGGTCCATTTCCCCCACACATCAGTAAACATATATGATGATGAGACATCAGTGTAGCGAAGGTTTTTATAATGTCTATATAAAAACTGACGGAAGAATTAACACCAGTCAGTTCCGAGTGACTAACTTACCTGGGACATTAAATATTAAGAGTTATATATCAACTTTTTTTTTTAGACCATGAACGTGTTCACTTAAGTTGTTACTGTAAGATATATGACCATGAGTACACACACACACACACACACACACACACACACACGGTATACAATTATATAAATACATTACCTGTTGTCAGATATAAAATTTACATATTAATCTGCCTACTATATCCAATTATTCTAATACATATGGCGTTATATTGACACATGGCATACATCCAGGTAGTAATATGACGTGACAGGTACAAAGTAAACCAGGTAAATTACGTCACACTGATCGATATATCACCTGGGTATACTTTCAAACACACTGTGAGTATATTGATCTCTGATGGTGTATACTCCCGTGAACAAACACACAGATAGGAACAGGTATCATACAGGAAGAAGGCTTGATTACACCTGTACCCCGTAATGAGTGTTTGACCCAGTATACATAGATTATATTCACGAGTAGGTATACATAATATATCTTAATTTATCTGATTATTATCTTTTTTTTTATTATTCTTTATCTTTGTCTTTAATTCACTGACTCACCTGTAGGATACTGAGAACAGGTAAACAAATGCAACACGACACAACACAACACAACACACTGTGTTCTCTGTCTATGTCTCCTGTTCTTTAATGTCTGTCCAATTTACTTATTCCCTAATACCCAGAACAAACTCATACTGACAGGGATGAGGGACCATATATAGGAGGTCAAATACCTCTGTTCATAATGTTTTAGGTAAGTGAAGCTTGTGTGTCTCTCTTAAAACTACTAATGTTCCCCAAATTACAGTAATAACTCCGGGAATTACGTTATAATGACAGTAATTTACATAGTGAGTGATTCCACATGTTGATAATTTCATGACCTAAAATATCTCACTAGAATGAATGTTTGATATATGACAAAATAACAATAAATAAATAAATAAATAAAATGAGAATATGAAAACATTACGAAAAATAAAATGATAATAATAATAATAGCAAAATAAAAATATAATAATAATAATAATAAAATAATAATAATAATAATAATAATATTAATAATAATAATAATAATAATAATAATATGATAATAATAATAATAATAATAATAATAATATAATGATAATATAATAATAAAATAATAATAATAATAATAATAATAATAATAATAATAATAATAATAATAATAATATTAATAATATTAATAATATTAATAATAATAATAATAATAATAATAATAATAATAATAATAATAATAATAATAATAATAATAATAATAATAATAATAATAATAATATAACCTAACTATTGAATAAGCCTTTTTCTCACCCCAAAAATATATTTACAGTCGTTCATCTTTAGTAAGTGTAGCGCTAAGTTCATTCCTTTCGTTCATTAAATCCATTCGTTGCGTTCGTTCGCTACAATCACCATCCCTTCACCATATACGTTCACTCTTTTCACTTTATATATTCACCATATACGTTCACTCTCTTGTCACTATATCTGTTCGCCTTCTTTTCATCAAATCTGTTCACCTTGATTGTTCACCACGTCTGTTCACCCTATAAGTTCACCACACTCTTTCATCACGTGTGTTCACTTTGGCTGTTCACCATGTCCGTTCACCACACTCTTTCATCACGTCTGTTCACCCTATACGTTCACCACACTCTTTCATCACGTGTGTTCACCTTGGATGTTCACCATGTCCGTTCACCGTTCATCGACTCTTAACGGCTGATGCATATTATTAAAAAGTTCTGTAATACTACCCCATGAGGGACGGTCAGCGGAGTGGGGATAGAGAGGGGTGAGTGGGAGGAGAGGTAGAGGTTGAGGGTTGAGTGGGAGGAGAGGGAGAAGTTGACGGTTGAGTGGGAGGAGAGGGAGAAGTTGAAACATGAGTGGGGAGGTGAAGTTGAAGGAAGTTTTCTGAGAGGGGAAGGAAGGTGAGTTGACTGAAAGGACGGGAAATGAGTGGTGGAAGCTGAAAAGGGAAGGATTATTAGG